CCTTCGTCCATTCCTCATGCTCCAAGTTACTTGTCATTGTTACACTTAAACGGGCGGTGAGCGAATAAAAACGGCAATTTTGCTTGCATAATAACAAATTATTATTATTTTGTTCGTTGAAGCGAGAAATCTTCGGAAAATATTTAGACGTGAATTCCGAATTGAAGAAATAGTATGCGCCATCTTTTCGCTTCCAGTCACTGCATTGCAATTTCTCAGAAATGAAATGCTCATTTCACTCGGTATTTAACTTATAATTTCGACAAAAGTAACCAAATTGTATTTCGGTTTTTCACAATTCAATTGCTACAATTGTAAAACCTCAACTCTCTCCTTCTCTCTCACCCGTTCGCTTTTCTCTTAATATTTGCTCGCCTTTTCACGCTCCACCGCCGGTCGTGCGTGAATGAACGAAATGAGACGAGAGAAATGTGCAATATATATAGTTTACAATTGGCATGAAGAGAAAATTCATGTACGATCTCTCCCTCCCTCTCTTCTTCTCTCACTCACTCATTTTCTCTTGGTATAATGTGGTTCCTTTATGAATTGCCAGTAATATGAGAATATAAATAGAAAATGTTGCAAAGCAAAAAGATCTATACCACAAACGGGAGCGTGTAAATGAGAAAGAAAAACGAAAACGCAGCAGATGCTAAAGTTGAGCTCAGTGAGCACGTTACACAAAATCATAATTAAATTTGATTGTTTGATATTTGAATTTAATTAGTGAGCGGGGATTGTATGTGAATTTGCATGGCCTTTTGTTACAATATCTCCAACAACAACACGTTTCACTTCCTCACATTTCAAACGGGTTCCTTCATCGAACACCCCCTTCCCCCTCACACACACAGTTTTATCTTTCTGTAACACGCACGCCAACTCGCTTTGAATGTCTGTATGTGTCTCTTGCTTCAATACTCATAATTACTCGAATTGTTCGTCAGTTTAATCAATTCAATTATAAGTTCTCACTGTCTCAAGACATGATTGAAGACATCTTCTGATTTCTCTTTGCATTTTCAACACTCTACAAAACTTTCAAACCGAAACACGCTCAATGCTCTTCACAAATATTACTAACTCCAAAGACTTGCTTAATTAGCCATGTACATTTATTGAATGCATACAAAACTCAAAATCACACACACATCCACTGTGTGGTGTTTGATTGCATTTTACGATGATGATTCCTCTTGAAATGTGATTCTCTTGACACAATCAAAGCACATTTTATGGCTCTTAAAATTACTTTTAATTAAAAAGTTTTATTTCATTTAAACAGTTTTTTTATTGGATTTCATCATGTTCCTGGATGGTTTTTAACGGAACGGCTTCAGAAATTGACGTTTTTCTAAGAAACTTTTCTTTTTTTTTTTCTTCATGTACGGCAAAGTTTAAGTTTGAAGAAAAGGGTGTTGAAATTTGCACAAAAGAAACAAATTCAAGTTTCATTTCGAAAATTTCAAGTTTCATTTCGGAGAAAATTCCGTTTTAATCGGAAACAACCTTTTTTATTATGAATTTTTCATATTGACGATGACAATTAGGGGCGTCATTCAATTTGTATCGTATATGTCTTCTTTAGTTCGATGTCAGGATCACACCTTTTGTTCAAATACCTTGATTTTCGCTAATTCTCAACAATACCTCGCTAATTCAAAGAATTCTTTTTTTTTGAACTTCTCTCATGAATCTCGAAGAAAAAGAAATTACGAGAATTGAACAAGAAGAATTACGGAGAATTTTCCATCAAAATTGTTTTAAATCACTGGATCATTCGAATTTTGTGCTGAAGAAAGTGTATCACGAATTCCTCACTTCAATATCCATGAAATTCGATTAAAAATTGAATTTTCTCCGGCGCTCTTCCTAATTGAAAAGCTTTAATGAGAATTTTTCGACTTAACTGACAGCTGAAAACGGCACATCAATAAATGATAGAACCGAATCGATACAATCATCAGCTCGACAGCGTATACTTTATTTAATAGATATAACTTTGTTTCGGAATGTGAATTTAATTGGAATCGGTCACCTAAGTGATCCGAATTTTCAATAACGTTAATTATTAAAATGCTTTAGCGAAGCGAGGAAAGTTTTATCGTTCAATGTTATATTATTTCCTCTTCGTCGTTTTTTGTATCATGGAATTTCATGTGGATATTTGACACATCCACCCGAATTTCCATGTTTTTTTGTTTCTCAGCACCAAAAAAAGGCCGTTTCGATGCGAACGAGAGAGAGAGAGAGAGAGGGAGAGAGAGAGAGAGAGAGAGCAAAAAACATATCCATCCGGCACCGTTCCCAAACTAAAAGTTTCAAATTATTTTTAATTAATTCGAAAGATTTGGAATTTCAAATTTGCGTGCGTTTGAGGCGGCAAACATTCCTGGCAATAAAGAAACAGAATATTTTCGGTTTTATAATGCGTCGCTATCTCATATTTGGCATGGAAGAGAGTGCACTCTGGCAGAAAGAAATGGAAACCACCGACCGACGAACCGAAAGAGAGAAAGAGAAAGCTAGAAAAAGTGGGAGAGTTGCGAAGAGCGAGGAAGAGGTAGAGACAATAAAAAAGACGACAAAGACTCAAAAAGCAAAATGGAAGGCTTTCAAACTTTTGCTCTTCTGCACACGATATAAATGGATTGCAACCGTCGAATAGACACCATTCAAATTATGAGAGAAATGCAAAATAATCATAACACACGCATGTACCAGCGAGCATTTCTATGTAGAATGTATATTGCAACCACGGTCGAATGTTATTTTGTTTTTTTATCCTCTTCGTCCTTTTCTCTCTCGGTTTTAGGCTATTATTGCATATTGTTTTATTATATTTCGCATTTGCGTTTTCGCTTTCGAATTTCATTTTATGATCGAAGCATTTGGTTTTCAGCACGTTTGTGTCGATGTTTATGGATGCATGCCAACAAAACACTGCTGCAAACCATTTATGGTAACATTTGGTTGCAAGAGTCTACATACAACGTTTCGATTTCTCTGTGTTCATATAGCCTTTTGTTAAATACTTTTTTGCGTACTTATGTTAAGCCTCAAGCGCGTCACTTGTTTCCATGAAATTCACTTGATTTTCGACTGTTTTACAAAAGGTAAACAAACTCTGACTTTTTTCGAATTTTTCCTCGGGAAATATTGTTCAAATCCTGAAATGTGTTGAAAAATGACCACCATATAAATGACCACAGAACATGGGAAATTCAATTTCGAGAATGATTTGGTACTTCTGTTGAAATTGATCCATAAATCGCCGACATATTCCGTCGAGAAACCACATGAATCCTTTGTTAAATGCCCATTGAATGCAGCCAAATCTCACCAAAAAATCTTTTAAAACTTTAAATTGATCGAAATCCGTATTCGATTAAAATGAACAAATTAAATAGAATTTCAAAGGATTTTTTTTTTGGCTGAAAAATATACCGTTAATCAAAATTTAAAGCAATTTCATTGTTATTTTTGTGTCGGTCCTGACGGCTGTTTCATTTTGGCCCCGACAAAAAAAAATTTGCTGAGTTGAATATCTCATATACATATTTGTTTTGATGTCCGTCCATAAAGCAATTCAATGTGCCAGTAACTGTGGTGCCCGCGTGACTATATTCACTCTCGTGCCTCACAAAACGGCTTCATTCTTTGTGCATTCGCCAGAAAGATTATTATTATTTTAAATAACTTTTTGGTGAGCTGTATACCGAGAGTGTGCGAGGTGAAGGGGAGCCAAGCGAAGGGTGAGTCTATACTCTCTTTTTGTATATATTTGAGCATTTTATTTCATTTATTGCACATTTGGACGATCCGACAACGGCCGCAATTTTTTTTGTTATACGTTTCCCATAAAAAAATACAGAAGCGGCAAAATAATGTGGATTTTCACGTTTGCATTTCGTTCATAAGCAGTTTTTTTTTTCATTCGGCCGTTGCTGTTGGTTACTCATCGTTTGGCATTCATTTTTTTGTGTTCTTTTTTTCGGTATTTGTTCTGTGCAGTTTTATTGCGTTGGTCGCATCGAGAGAGCAGTTTATTTAAAAAAAAATTCGGTGTTCGTTGGCTGCAATTGTGTTCTTTGTCGGTCGTTGCTTCATTTTCAAGGGGTTTGTTTTATGTACACATGTTTTTTATTGATTTCGGTTGGTGCTCAGGCGCCAGTACAAAAATAATAATGTCTATGGGCCGCTTTTTTGTTTCATTCGATTCGCAACACAAACGTCTGCCAACAACAACGAACAAAAGGGTAGCAACACTGTAGTTTCTATATGTTAAAATTCACTTTTTCGTGTGTATTTATTTAGAAATTGTCTTTGAAATTCGAAACGAGAGGCGAGAATTTATCCGATTTTCGCGTGTGGAAGATTTTTTTCTCTATTGTTTGTACTTGTTGATATAGCGTACAGTGGAAAAGGGTTTGACAGTTTGGCTTTGAACCGGAATCGAGACGTCAATAGACGGATTTAGTTTGACGGCCGAGATAACAAAAGGGTCTCCGCCGACTACCTGCACGACTTTCAACCACTTTTCTTCAGACTAAACGCAAGGCACCATGCATACATACAAGAGAAAAGTCTGCGGTCCACAACCACACACATGCTTCGAAAATGGACAAATCGAACTCAATCAAACAAAACTGATAGCTTCCCGTTCCTGTTCATTCAATCGAAACGAGTCAAATAAAAATATTTCATTTCGTTTTTCGGATCGAATGAAATGTGCCAATATCGTCGGTTCTTTTTCATCAATTGACAAAAACGAAAGCTAGTGCAATCAACGCCGATGCCAATTTTTCGATTTTCTTTGTGCGTTTCCGTTCGTCTTGATTACAACGTTTTTTTTTTTTGGGTTCCCACAATGTTGAAAGAATTGCAAATATTTTTACATGTTCTTCCGTATCTATTTTTTTTCTCTCTTTTCACTAGGTAATATTCCGTCTCAAATATTTCGAATGGAATAAAAATATAAAGAAAAGGGTACTCACCATTATAAATAATCAATAAAAATGATAGTAGCAATAAACTTCCTGATGTCGTCATATTTGTCATAATGTCGTTCTGTAAAGAGATCGAGAAAAATCAAAGAGTCAGAAAAAAATCATTACGTAAAAATAAAAAGATTGAGCTTCAAAAGAAAGAAAATGAACATGACCAAGTTGTCGCATACAGCACACAATCAGACGACTGACATCGGTGCTGACGAAAGAATGTAGTTGGCGAGCATGTCCAGAGCAATAAAAAGAGAGACAAAAACTAATCTTCGATAATAGTATAAAAATGGTTACTTTGAGTTAGGTAAAAAGTCATCAATATTGCGAGGCTTGATTGAATCGAAACCGCTGAATGAGATTGAATCTTTTCTGTTTGACATTTTTTTTCCTTTTCAGCTTCGTTGAAATTTAATCCCTGTACAAAGGATCCATTTCAAATAGAAACGGACTTAATTTCTTATTTTAAGTAAACGGAGCAGTTTGCTTTGTAAAAATGGGACATTCATATTTAAACTATGCGATAAAATGGGTCAATCCAATCGTATCTAAAATTTATGAATTTACTCGAGTTTGTGTCATGAAAATGTCGTGCACCAATTTATCATTTTTTCGCAAAAAAAATGATTAAAAATCAGCCATTTGTTCTGTGTTCGTTAAAAAAACTCAAAAGTTCGAATTTTCGTCGAAAATTACCCGAGGACTGGTTATCATTAGAATCCATTCAGTTCATATTATTTATTCAATGTGAAATGAAGTTTCCGATTGGAGTAGCTGACAAATCGTGAATCGTTTACCATTTATCTCTTTTTCGATTCAAGTTTTGTGTAAAAATCAATTTTTCATCGTATCATATTTATTAAGTGAAACGAAAATATCTTTTATCTATTCAAATCGCACAATTTCAATTGCGGGCAATATCAATTAAAAATGAGCGGTTTTTCGGGCACGATATAATGTTATCAGCATTTTTATGCGGAAATTTCTCTTTATTATTGTGGGTTTCTTCAAGAGGGTCACTTGGAAGTCGCGCGCGAGAAAAAACCGGCCACTTGAATGAAACTGTGCGCACCATCGAATCAATTAAAAATCAATTAAATGCAAAACAGCCTCTTGCCGCGCGAGGGAGAGTGTGTAGGAGAAAAGCTTAAGATGTGAGGGTTTCGAATGAAGGCGCGAAACAAAACGAAATAAGCTCAATGAATAAGTAATTCGGAATGTGAATTAAAGAAGAAGCGTCGAAGGGAGACAGCGTGTGTTTTCAAGAAGAAAATAATGAAGAAAAAAATGAAGAAAAAGTGTCCATTGAATTAATCATTCCAAAGAGTGATTACTTCTTCAACGCCCATTCAACAAAAACGGCAACCGATGTGAAAATGACACTAACACTGCATTTTTCTTCAATTTCTTGATATTATTTTGCGATGTGAGTTCCGAAAAAAACGAAAAAACGAAATGAAAATAAAAACGCCGACCATTTTTCATTTGCACAGAAGAAATTCTAATTAAAATTTACTATAGGAAACAATTATGATGTAAATAAATTCATTGAAAGCGAGAGAGAAAAAGAGAGTAAGATGGAAGAGCGTGTGCGCTTCTTGATGACGAGAGCATTTTTATGAGTGTTTATTTTTTATTCATTTCTCTTTTTTTTATTCTTCGCGGTGGCTCATCCATTCAAGCGTGCTTTTTCTTTATTTCGGAGCACCAGAACAATGGGTGGGTGGGTGCCACTTGTGTGTGTATGCGGTATAAAATTACGTTAAATTGAATGGCCAAATAACTTGCGGCGATTAATTTCATTTCGAACGCAAGAATTGTCAATATTATTTTCGATTCGTTGCATCAATTTTCAATTTATTACTTCATTATTCACGCAAATATGCCATAAACTGTGCCATTGAAATTCAAATTGAAGAAATTCGCTTACGCGAAGAGAACGTAGTCGCAGTCGAATCGAGAGTAAAAATTAAGTAGTTTTCCGATTGCATTCAAAATGGAAATGCACTTTACGGGGACGTGCAACACGGAAATGCCGTCGTTTGGTAAACGAAAGACGTCGAAGAATCGATTACGATGAAGATGAAAAATGCGAAGTCTATGTGCATGGGAGTATATAGTTCATTTCATGAATTGGTTGACGAGTGAAAAATCCATTGAAACCTAATCAAGTCAATGCTCGCACACGGTTGTGAATGTACAATGTGTGATGAAATGAGCGTGAAATCGATATTGCACCGAAAATCATCATGATTTTCCTCATTAGATGCATTTTAAACAGCTAAAACTCGGTTTCGTAGTCACATTTCACATAAAAAGCCGCGCAAGAGTGGCTGAAAGACACAAATCCCGTCAATTTCATCAAATATGCAGCTGCCACATGCAATTCTCGCGAAACCTTTAAGCCAGAATGTCAATGTTGGGTGCCGATCCACGCGTGTGAGTGCAAGCACTTTCAAAGAATTGGCTTCATCGTCTTTGCCAACATCGTCAACGCTCTCTCTTTTTCTCTCACAGGCATATGAATAATCTCGCGCGCGGATTTTGTATTTGATTCGATTCAAATTTAAAACTTCATGCATTTTTATTTGTTTCGTGATTTATTCATAGCGTTGCTCTCTTCCCTTTCGTTCACCTGTCGCCATTTCATCGTCATCGTCGTTTGCATTTTTCTGCATCATTCGTGCAGTAGATCTATTTTCTTGTCACTATAGTATACGTTTGCATGTTGTTGTTTTTTTTCGCTCTCTCTCTCTCTCTCTCTCTCTCTCTCTTTCTCGATTTCTTTGTATGTCAACTGCTATGATCCGATTACGTCGCGATGTGGGACTCTCGTGTGTATGCGTTTGGCGCAATCATTCATAAAAAAAGCGAATACCAAAGTGAATTGTGTGCTCTGGCGCCTCATCCCCAGTTGACGCATTACGTGTAGTAAAGCCAGAGAGCGCATATTAAAGCTAAGCAACGGTAATGCAATAAATATTTACCTTTCTGCTGTTTCACAATTTGATCGTTGCAAGCTCTTTTTCTATCTTTCTATCTCTCTCACTTTTTCTATCTCGTTTAGTCTTTATCCTCTCATGCTTTCTCTCGTTTGTATTGGCATTTTCAAATCGAAAATGGATTCCTGTTACTCATAACAAGCTTCATTCGAAATGCGAATAAAAAAAAACACATACAAAAAGATACACACACAGACACACACATCAGGATAATTTACATAAATAAGTTGATTTTCGTTTCTCGTGTTCCTTTTTTCTCTCCATCTGTGCTAGTGTATTTTTATCGTTCGTTGTGTATTTTTTTTTCTACATTCCATTCGTTTCAAAATGAACATGTTGTGTGTGTGCTTTACGCTCTGTCGTTTTTGTGTCCTTTATTTTCCAAATCGGTGATGCAGAGAGAAACATACAAACATAGCTGATTTTTTGTTGTTGTCGGTGTGTGTTTTTTCAGGTGGATTTTATACACAAACACATATGTCGAATATGCAAACACATTTAATTTACGCTTCACTCTTCGGTACCGGTGCTGGTGTCATTTTCATTTTGCAACGATATTCCATGCAAATGTCAAATACGGCTCACAAAATCTCTCACCAACTACCACCGTTACCGACGCGAGCACTTTCATAATGCCACATTCCAAAGTTTCTCACCACTCAAGCATACATTGAAAACACCATAGTTGTAATTATAACCGAAAAATGACTACGTCATCCCACACAGTAACGAGGCGAGAGTGGCTCTTTTTTCTGTTTTACCTTTGCATGCTTTGCTTACATGCATAATTAAAACGAACTTTATTTTCAATTTTGTCAAAATCTAATAACGACTTTTTGTTGAAGTTTACCACCAGTTATTATTTGGAGCATGAGATGGAAACATATTTTTGAATTTATACGATTCGAGGAAGATTATCTCTTATGCTATCTTTCTCTTTCTCTCCATCTCTCTTCCTTTACTCCATTCCATTTCTTTTTTTTCTCTTTCTCAAACCTCCCTTTCCTTTTCTCTCTTTCTCTCTTCCTCGCTCTTTTTCCAACTTACATCGTGAAGTATTCGGTACTCGTCTAAATTCAAAGAATACACCAAGGTAGCAACCATTGGTATGACGACAAACACACGAATGATAAAATTAAATAAAATTGAACGAAAAAAATTATATCATCCAAAAAGATTCAAAGAGAAAATGGAGGTATCGAGCATTTTTTTTACATTCAGAGATAACGTTCTTGTTATTTTCAAACAAAAGTAGGTTTTTTTTGTTCTGAATTCAATGGGTTTTCAATGTTTGCTCGAATCGTTCGTTTCTTTATTTTTATCGAAAATGTTTTCAAGATTAGCAAATCCGGTCGGTGTGAACACAAGCGTTTTGATTCTTATAAGTTAAAAAAGAAAAAAATATATAAATAAAATTGGCTCGTGCAAGTAAGAGTTCGTTTTCTTTCTTCGAAAGAGAATTTATGTCAAAGATCTTCATTGGCTAGACTAATTCACTTTCAACCTGAATTTCCTTGTGTCTTGAACTTCATAAACAAATTACTTTTAAAATGAAATCTTCATGAATTCACATCAATTGCAGCAAATATGTCCCATACACACACGTACACTCGCGTCTAATGACTTGACTATCCTTGAGCATCTATATGTTTTCGCTTGGAATGTATGCAAGTTCATGGTATTTATCGTTTGATATTCCCTTGAACAACAACCGAAAAAAAAAGATCGAATTAAGAAGATGCCTTTTCGAATCGACATTTATTTGCATATTTCAAGTCGAGTTTTTTATTCGTATGCTTCTTTTTGATTCACTGAAAATATATCAAATTAAAATGTAAATAAAGATGGCACAAATGCCATGTATCAAATGAAATCAGTAGAAATCTACACAATTTGGTTGTTTGAAAAGTTTTCGCATTGAAACTTCTTAATTTGATATTATTTGTCAATGTGTGTCATATGTGTTCTGTGGACCGGAAATTTCTCCGGTTGAAAAGTCGACGAATGCTCGAATGGGAAATGTTTGTGAGCGAAAAAAAAGTTCATTTTCTCAAATTAAGATAGAAGA